GGCAGAGAGAATTGTAAAATGTAGCAAAAATATTAGGAAGCAACACATCTTTGGTGTTACCTTCGTTTTTCATATAGTCTTAATTATAAGTTTATGTAATTTAATTTTAAATAATTGCTATGTTTAACAATCAGTTTTTTACATTCCTAAAAATTCAGTAGTCAGCCTTTATACCCCGGTACCTGCTGTCCCCCACGTACCAGGGCTGCAGATCCTCAGTCCAGCTCTGCCACACAACAGCAGTGTGATCCTGAGCTCTGTCGCTCAGCTTTCTCCCATGAAAACTAGGATAGATTTGGATTCTAGTTCTAGATCGGCCCTCCATCTTTTGGGGTGATGGGGAACATAAAACATAACACAGTGTGACGAGTTCTTAAAAAATTAGTGAACACAGTTTATGTAGGACTGTTTATAGTGTACAGTTTCTGAGGATGGGGACGGATTCCAGGGCCTCTGGGGTAAAAAAAAAAAAAAATCCAGAGAAGCCCTAGAGTCTTGGATGTAACCTGAGATTAAGTGATGTCACTGGGATACAGCAGACGTCCTCTGTCACCCCGGACACCTGCTTCCCGGTCTTGATGCTGTCTTGTCAGATCAGCCGTCTTCATCACCTTGAGGCCTGGTGGTGCGGACTACAGCAGGGCCCTCCGTCCCCTTCTCTCTCTGGTCTCCCCTCTTCATCAGAGGAGTGACTGTAGGCCTTGCAGAGAATTCCGAATACTGGCATTACTCAAACTAGAGGCAGCGTTTCAGAATTGCACTCAGAAAAAGCTGCAGAACTGTGAGAAGACAAGCTACTAGTCACTGAAGCCTGGCTGCAGGACTTACTGTTATTTAATTTCATTTTTTTGCAGTGCATTGCTCTTAAATGTTTTTAAGTCAGAAAGAAAGGTATTGAAAAGAGTGGTGATTCCTCAGAATATTAAAAATAGAATTACCGTTTGATCCAGGATTCCCACTTTTGGGTACATACCCGAAAGAAATGAGAACCAGGACTCAAACACAGACGTGTATACACACACTCATAGTAGCCTGTTCACAGCAGCCAAAAGGTGGACATACCTGAGTTCCATCAGCAGGTGAATGGATAAACAAAATGTGGTGTATACATTTAGTGGGATATTACTCAGCCTTAAAAAAGGAAGTCCTATCATGTGCTACCACATGGATGAACGCTAAAAGCGTCATGCTAAGTCAAATTAGGCAGTCCTAAAAAGACATGTACTGTGTGCTTTCACCGCAATGTGAATGTACTTAATGCCACGGAACCGTATACTTAAAAATAATTAAGATGTTAAGTTTTGTTATATATGTTGTAGGGGAGGAGAAAACCATGTTTCCTTTATCTGCCTTAGGGTCATCAGCTGAGACCCCGCAAATCAGATTGCCAGAGACAGGCTAGCAAGAGAGAGGCAGGCCGGGGTGATTCCCGCGCGCGCGCGCGCGCGTGTGTGTGGCGCATACGCCTGGAACTCCGGGATGGCTAACGCGACGGGGCGCTTAGGACGTGGAGCTTATGTAAGCGTCTTAACAGAAGAGTGATGATTTTATAGAGAAGGGACAAGACAAAGGAAAGGGACCGAGCTTCTAGGGAGGACAGATATGTGGGAGAAACAAAAGAAGGGAAGGAGTCAGCAAGATCTGTTACGTGGATTTCTCTGGTGCAGTCTGGGCTAACAGTGGTCTCTGGTGAGGAAGACCCTCCTGATCTTCCTGGCGGAGAGTGGGGAAGGGCGGTTTTTCTTGTGTCTGCTTCTTGTCGGTTGTGTTCAGCTCAGTACGATCATTGTGCCAGAGTGGCATATTTTCGGGTGGTATACTCGGAACTCCTGTATTTTACCACAAAAAATATGTATACGTGAATAAAAGAAAAGAAGGTGGGACGTCTGGGTGGCTCAGTGGTTGAGCACCTGGGGGGCTCAGGGCATGATCCCGGGGTCCTGGGATCGAGTTCCACATCGGGCTCCCTGCAGGAACCTACTTCTCCCTCTCTGTGTGTCTAGTGAATAAATAAATAAAATCCTTAAAAAAAAAGAAGGTGTTGCTGTCCAGTTAGATGAAGACATTAGGGTTCATGGTGAGAAAGTGAGGAGTCAAGAAGGGAAAATTAGTTAAGGGCCTTGTGTACACGTTGATTCCAGATTAAGGGCTGTACCCTACTGCTTGGGTGGAGGGAACACAGGAAAAGATCACTCCAGACTCCTTTGTTTTTATGTGGGAAATGGTTCTTTTGGATGATTAATACAAAGCCAACCTGTCCTACTTGGTGGATGGGTAGAGCACGTTGTTGGAAGGCTAGTATGAGGTCCTGGGCATCTCACCGTCGTGGACGCGGGAGTCGCAGCAAACGAGGCATTTAACAGACAGTAGAGCTGGCCGTTGAGCGCAGGTGCAGCCAGGTGGCTGTCAGGGACAAGGGACGGTCTGTAGTGGAGGCAACTGATCCAATTTCAGAGTCTAAAGCGCTGCCAGGATAGAAAGGTATGGAAGTTCGCTAGACGATTGGAAATGCAGGCTGGCACTCAGGACTGAGCGCTGCACTCCCAAGTCCTCTGCCCGGCAGTGGAAACAGGCACATTTACCAAGGAGGAGAGCGGAGGTGGAGAAGGGCCCGGGCAGGACCCAGAGCAGGCCTGGGAGGGGGTGAAGCAGGCACAGCCCCCTGTGGAACCATGGGAAGACTTTCAAGGAAGAGGAGGAAATGTGTTATTCTTCGCTGTCGAAACTCAAGCAGAGAAACAAGGCCACTGGGTTTGGCAGCCGGGGACCGGGCGTCCCCTCCGGGGGGGCAGTTTCTGTTGGCAAGGGAGACCGAAGCAAAAGGCATGGGGTAGTGAGAACAGGACCCCTCCTGGGCGCCATCCCTGACTGTACATCGGGCCTGGGGAGCCTTTGGGGGATTGAGTAGTCTGGGCTTTTGTACAAACTCGAGAGAAAGCCTTCACTGGAGAGAGATAAGTTGGAAAACGTGGAGGATGGAGATGCCAGGCTCCCATGTTTGAGTCCCTGGAGGCAGGGAGGGCTGTTGGTGCCTGTGTCCCCATAGAGCAGAGACCTGTGAGCTGTGGCTGGGCATCCGGACGGAAGCCCCCTCCCTCCCGCATCGGCGGTAACGCGCACCCAGGTTGCAGGCAGTCTGCCGGCCGGCGGGGCAGAAGGTCTCGAGACACCAGGCGCTGTCGGGAGGCGGGGAGGGCGGGCGAGGCCGCAGATGCCCTCTTAGGCCGGAGGTAGGAAACAGCACAAGGCAGAGAAGGGAGACAGTGGTGTAAGTCTTGACTGGGAAGGCTGTGCTCTGAGTAGAGTAAAAGCTGTGTCTTCCACGGAGGGGGGCGAGGCTGGAGCCCCGAGCGACTAGGAAAGGCTGGGGACACAGGAGGTCCTGGAGAACGGGCGGAAGTGCCTGCGGTGGAGCGTGGGCCAGGCCACGCCAAGGGAAGCCTGCGCGTACTGAGCTGGCGCGCAGCCTTCTGCAGGGACACCTGACCCGTGATGGGGGGTCCCTGCAGTCACTGGGTGGCAGCGTGGGGAAGTCAGAGGGGACGGCGGTGCCAGGGCCCGGACGGGCAGGCGAGGCACGCCGAGCTGGCCGGCGCTGCCCTCTGCTCCAGCAACCCCTTCCCCGGGATCCGACATTCAGACTTGCCCTCACTTCCGCTGCCCGAGGGCCCTTTGGTCTCTCCCCGTAGCTCTGATTCCTCCACCTGGGTCCGCACCTGCTGTGTGTGGTCGGATTTCTGTTTGGAGGCCGCTCCCAGGTGGGCTGTGGGCTGCCCCGGGGTCTGGCCTTTCGTTGGTGCGTAGCGGTAAGCGGTAGCTGAACGGGGATGTTAGCTGAGTGCGGACGGCTCACGGACTTCCTCATTCCCTCCCGTTTAGCTCGAGGGACTTGGAAGATGCACACTGATCGTGTGAGATGACCAGGGGGTCATCTTGCAGGGGGCAGCGTGTAAGACCCCGTGCTGAGAGCCGGCGTCAGCCCGAGGGAAGCCCGTACACAGACCCGCGGCAGGCAGTGGCCAGGGCTGGGACAGCATTAGGATAACTTTGGGGAGGGGGGGGACAGAGAAATCGCTTCTATTTAGGGCAGTGCTCTGATCCCGGAGGATGGGCTCGAGAAGGCCCTTGAGGGGAAGGTCCTCGAACACCCTGGAACTGTAATTGCAGAATTTTTTAAGTTCACGTCTTTCTGGGAGGTGGGTCCCCAGAGGGGACTCTGGGAGGAATCACAAAGCCGCCCGTTAGGGCTTCTCTCTGTGGGTCTGCTGGCGCGCAGACGGGGGCAGCGTGCGGGCACTGGGAGTGTTCTTTTACAACACGTCCACCTCCTGCAGGTATTTCCTTCGAGCCACCATCAGCCGCCGCCTCAATGACGTCGTCAAGGAGATGGATATCGTAGTCCACACCCTCAGCACGTACCCAGAGCTGAACTCCTCCATCAAGATGGAGGTGGGGATTGAGGACTGCCTGCACATTGAGTTTGAGTACAATAAATCCAAGTAAGTACCCGGGGCCCCGTGGTGTGGAGCCCAGGCCTGTGCTGGGGGCAGGCAGCTGAGCGGTACTGGGAACGTGGCTGAGGCTGCGGAACGTAGACCGGGAGGCCGAACCTCATACTTACACTAAGCGGAAATCAAGGAGGGACATTGAAGTTACACGTCGTACATTGTGTTTCAAAGTCAAGCTAAACTGACTTTACAGCTGTTTGGATCTAGATACAGCTCTTCCTTTCTACTGATCAAAATAATCTCCAAACCCCATTCCTGTTAGCGCTCGTACCCGCTATACAGCGTGTCTGGAAATCCACGTGCACACCGGCCTAGTTTGCTGCATCTTCCTGAACTTTAGTGAATGACAGCCAAGAATGCCTCTTTATAGAGGTCTTTAAATAATGTTAACTGGCAAGTTGGGAAGCCAGGAATGTTTTAACTGTGTTTGCTGTCCAAACATGGAAACCTTTAAGTGCTTGTAAATCACGAAACCTACCAGCACTTCAAAGATCTAGCACAGGCATCTTTCTTTTATTCATGAGAGACACAGAGAGAGAGAGAGATTGAGAGGCAGAGACACAGGTGGAGGGAGAAGCAGGATCCTGCAGGGAGCCTGACGTGGGACTCGATCCCGGGACCCTGGGATCACAACCTGAGCTGAAGGCAGACACTGAGCCACTGAGCCCCCCAGGCGTCCCCACAAGCATCTTTCTTTTCAGTATCAAACCTTCCTGAAAATGTTTGAAAATCAGCAGAAGTAAAAGTGTATTCAGAGCTAAAACAAGAAATTAGGAGTCTAGGGCTCTTACTGGGCAGACTCTCAGGTCAGATCCACTGTTACCCAGGGGTTCGGGTTCTCCTGTGAAGGGTTGGAAATAGGGCTTTTCAAAAAACTAGCAACGTATGTGCTTCCTAGAACAGGGGTGAGGGGGGGCCTGTTTGTTCCCCTGCCCCCTGGCCTGGAACCACTCATGACCCAGAAGGGCTCCTGCTTGGCTGGGCCCCACACGTGGACTGGGGTGGGGCGGGCTGGAGGGAGGTTGGTCTGAGCCAGGCAGGGACATACGAGCAAACAGCCTTCTTTGCCTTCCTCCTCAGTCTCCGGGCTCTGGAAAGGAGCCACCAGCAGTGCCTGCCCGCCAGCGCTCCCGCCGCCTGGTAAAGGGGTGGCCGGGAGGCAGTGCCACCTTGTAGGAGCTCAGAAAGCCGTCGGTCAGCAGTGTGCTCAAGACCAAGTGTGGTGTGAAAGGGCCGAGAGAGTCCATCCCATGAGCTCGGGCTGGATGCTCAGCCCCTTCGTGCCCTCTCAGAGCAGGCCATGCTGGGCAGGGCTCCGTCTACTGGGTGGGCCTAGAGCACAGTCCCATCCTGCCACTAAGATTGCCCTCGTGTGAAGGTCAGCAGGTGTTAACATGTTTGTGCCTTGGCTTTCTCCTCTGAAAAGTGGAGACAGGGTAGTGGGGTTTAAACATAGAAAACATGAAGTGAAAGAAAAGCAGGGCGCAGGATCGTGGGCCCTGCACTGGGGTTTCTCACATGTTAATGTTTCCACATAGCATTTCATTTAGAATAAAGGAAAGTTCTGTTTACCAAAATTTGAAAACCCCTAGAATCTATGATCTCTCAGCATTCCTTCTTAAATGCTTGGAGCAGCCTCCGTTCTTAGGTTATCTACTGAGAGTGCGGGTCTCCCAGTTAGACTGTAAGGAGAAAGGCAGCATGAAATAGTGGGGTGGACGCAGGCCTAAGAATTGGGTACCTGGGCTCACATCTCTGTCCCCTACTCAGATCCTGGTTCAAGTGTCTGTCTTCTTTGAACTTCCTTTTCTTCACCCGTAATATGTGGAGGTTAAATCCTGAAGTCCCTGGAACACCCTGTCCCATGAATCTGAGCTTCAGATTTGAAGATTTTTGTCTCTGCCTGATACAGGGCTGTGTTTGCGCAGACCATTGGCGCCTCACGCTGACTCAAACGCTTGGAGGGTCAGAACTGTTGTTAGGCATGGCCAAGTCCACAGCAGCTCCCAAGCACCAGCCACCAGCCGTGTGAGCAGAGCACAGGGAGAAGGTGCCAACGGGGCATGAGTGATGCCTCATCTTGCTCTCCTGCTCCTCCCTGGCCTGACGTGTCCACAGCAGACAAGACTGCTCTGCTGCAGGCTATTGAGGGCCAGTTCCCAGAAGACCTGTTGTGGAGCTCAGGGAGAAAGAGCAAGACCTGGATTGGTGGGGCTGTCCTCCCACACCTCAGGACACCTAAAACAACACATACACAAACACAGAAGGTATACAAGAGTTTAGAGTGCTGGGGAGATAAGTCGGGAGAGCAAGCGTGAATGGGCGTGTAATCTGCAGAAAGAACATCCTGCGAATGGCCTGTGGAAGAACAGGGAAGTTACAGAAGTCACTGGGATCCCAGTAAAGAACATATTGGGAAGTCATTCTGCAAGGGCAGTTGTAAGAACGTGGGCGAGTGTGGAAGAGCATGTCCCACTCCATCTTCAGCCACCCCACGTGGCAGTGCCCCCTCCCCGGAAACCTGGAAACATGCAGAGTTGAGCTGCTGTACTCACATCTTACTCTCTGGGCTTTCTCTTTCCCAGATACCACTTGAAAGATGTCATTGTAGGAAAGATCTACTTCCTGTTGGTGAGAATCAAAATCAAGCACATGGAGATAGATATCATCAAGCGGGAAACGACGGGCACAGGCCCCAACGTGTACCACGAGAACGACACGATAGCCAAGTATGAGATCATGGACGGGGCGCCTGTGAGAGGTGAGCACCCAGGCACCCAGCCCGCAGCGGCCTTACCCGCTCCCCAGGCCCCACAGTGTTGGAGGGCACGAGGGACTTTAGTGCTAGACTAAGATTCCCTATTCACCTGTCATTTCTCATCTCCGGAAGTTCACTGGGTGCCAGTAAAGAGGACGAGGGCTAATATGTGCGAGCTCCTTCCCCACCTTCACCAGGAGAGCTCCGCGTTGGCCTTGTCTGCCTACGGAGCTCGTAGCAGAGATGGCATCTCAGGAGCGATGCCTCTTAGAAAACTACTACAAAAGCTTGAAAAGTGCTGGTGTAGCGGATACAGTGGGAACATTTCACTACTTCCTGTTGACATTCTGTGTTGCTAGGGACCAAGAGGGTAACGTGGAATAATCACGTGTGTTCCTTACTTCTGGCTCTGGCAAAATGATCCACTCCCTGCATGCATTTGCCAAGTGTAGACAGTCTGGGCAGCCCTAGCAGGTGCCGCAGAGCAGGGAACGGGACAGACGGCTGCCCCCCCCACCCCCCCAGAGCTGATGTGACATCTGGAACGAATGGAATTGAAAGCCTGGGTGTTTGGGGAACCTGGTTATTTGGGAGTAGCAGTCGTTTTACGTGCTGCTAGCTCTGCAGCCACTGATCACGAGGAGTGTTTTCTTCCCTCCAGAAGTGCTCGGTTATGCCAAGGTTTTATTCAGCTTGTTCCCATGTGTTCCGTGTGGAAGGAGGAGACCAGGACAGCAGGCTCTTGGATGTCACCAGGACAGGCACCCGGAGGGACAGGGCTGAGCGCTCCTGACTCCCCGGGTGTGCCATGTTTTCACCGGCTCTGCAGGGAGAGCCGCTGCTGTTTTCCCTGAGAAGCAAGACAACAGATCATTAACAGTGCATTTATATTTAGCTTTAGACGACGTGATAGGCTTGGCCTCTCTCAGTAGAATTACTGCCCTAATTTCCTTTCACTTAAATTAGGAAGAGCACGGTGTCAGAGCTGGAAGGGCTCAAAAATACCACGTGGTCTGGTTCCACACTTTTCCGCAAGAGAAAATTAAGGTCCAGAGAAAGCAAAGGACTAACTCAGCAGTCCTACAAGTTAATGCAGAACTGAGACCAGAATGAGGGTTTTTTCCTTTCCAGAGCCCTCTACCGCCCTGCCAACCCACCTCGGAGTGGAGGTGTATGTTGGGGGACATGCAGTATTTAGGGTGGAGGACGGTGGCACCAAAATTGCTGGGTGACAGGAGCGAGTTTGACCCTGGGCCTGTGAACACCCGACAACTAGACGGTGACACGTCCCCTAAGGGTGCTTGGCCGTAGTGTTCTGTGCTCTTCCTACGCGCGGGTCTTGGTTTCCAGGCGGTGAAAGAAGGTGCAGCGGGACCTGGACGGGGAGCAGCGCAGTGTCAGGTTTTGCTTCAGCAGGTCACTGAGCTGCCGACTGCGAGTCCCCAACAGGCAGGAACGTTGCCTCGAGTGTGCCGTGAGATGCTCGGGGCGCCTCCCTTGCTGGTGTCAGGAGGGGTGGGCTCCGTCACCCCTTCCCTGACGTGTGCCCGGCCCTCACAGGAGAGTCCATCCCCATCCGGCTCTTCCTGGCGGGCTACGAGCTCACCCCCACCATGCGGGACATCAACAAGAAGTTCTCTGTGCGCTATTACCTCAACCTGGTGCTCATAGATGAGGAGGAGCGGCGCTATTTCAAACAGCAGGTGAGGCCCTGGGCACAGCCCTGGAGCCTGACGGGAAGGGCAGGGCCTGGAGAGTTTGCTCGTCTCCACGCCCCCTGGTGGTCCACGGAGGCTGAGCCCGCGGTGAGAACCAGGGTTCCCATGTGACACATTGAGTCTGCTTGCCCAGGCCCAGGCCTGCGACCCCTCTGCCCTTCGTGCCCCCATCGGGAGCCCCGGGGAGGGGGTGGGGGTGGACAGGCAGCTGCTGACCTGCAGGAGGTTTTGCCGAGATGCCCGGGGAGGGCTGGAGCCCCTGGGCCCCCCATGCACCCCTCTCAGGGTGTCACTCCCCCCCCCCCCAATTCTGCAGGAAGTGGTGTTGTGGCGGAAAGGTGACATCGTAAGGAAGAGCATGTCCCACCAGGCAGCCATCGCCTCACAGCGCTTCGAGGGCACCACCTCCCTGGCTGAGGCGCGGACCCCCAGTCAGCTGTCCGACAACAACAGCAGGCAGTAGGCCCGGGCCCGGGAGCGGCTGGGCTTCCACCCCGGCAGCCCCGTCTACCACACACCAGCGGCTGGGGCAGGAGGACGGCACAACGCTCAGCTGACCCGTTACTTGCAACCTGAAAACAAATCGTGTCTTGACTTAAATTCTTTTTTCTGAAGAACCTAAGGGGCCTGGGCTGGGAGGCAGTGTCCTTGAGGTCTGTGGCTGACGTGGGACTAGGGAGAAGGAGCCTCCCGTCAAAGCTGCCCCGCTTTTGCAGGTCCCGAGCGGCTTACCCCCTGCAGCCCCACGCCCTGTCCTGAGTGGCAGGGGGGAGACGCCTCTTTGGGAGTCTCGGGGGTGGTGCTTGGAGGTTTCCACACGTGGCCCACCTCACGGCTGGGATGCAGCCACCTCCCTTCTCCATCTTCTGCAGACTGCTGTCAGGAGCGTCCTGGGACAAGCCTGTGGTAGGGCCTCACCCGTGAGGGATTCTGGGCACAGACTCCCGGGTCGCGGTCACGCATGGATGGCAGCAGCGTGGGACACAGGAGGCCTGGCCGGGCCCCGAGGACAAGCACAGGGACCAGGCTGGTAGCTGCCCACCGCGAGCAGGGTGGCTCGAGGGTGCTGCCATGTGTTCCCGCAGGCTTCCCTTCCGAGGCCCCGGGAAGGGGCCCTGAGCTCTTTGCTTCCCTGCGATGGATCGTCCTCACTCCCCGCTCTGCCTCCAGTCAGTTTCTGGGGCTTGGGGGCTTCTGGCTGTCGCCCGTGCCCCCCCCCCTCGCGGAGCCGTGGGAGGGAGAGCGCCTCTGCAGAACACCCTGCCCACGACTTCCGAAAGATTCTGCTTGCCAAACTGTCTTCATCTTCACCACCTGACTGACCCGAATTTAGGACCGTCGATGTTTTTGTCGAAAAACACAGAGACTCCGTGGACATTGTTCTGCTGGAGGAGGCGGGGACTTCCCTGTGTGCTGCGGGCCCACTGGAGTAGAGGTGTCGATGTCCTTTTCTGCCTCACCTGGAGACGACCCCACTGGCCAGTAAGGACCACATCGGGTGGTCCAAGTCCCCCATGATTTGGGAAGCAGAGGGCTCGGTTCCTGTATCATCTTTCAGTGTGGGACATTCAGACTGTTTTCCTGAGACCGGTGCAGTCGTGGGCCTCTGAGTGGGCAGGGCTCCTGGGGCAAAGGCCCTGCGCGGACCCTCGAGGCTGACTGGCGACAACAGAACCAGGGAAGGTAGGTGGCTCCCCCACGCCGGACCCTGAGTTCTGGTGTAATGGACAATCTCCTGGGAACAGGATCACCCAGCTGCCCCTGGATTATCAGGATCGGGCCCGAGTGTCTGGGGAGGCGGGTTCTGTGTTCCTTCCCTTTTCCAGAACATGAGACTAGGCCCCGGCGTGCCTCCCCTAGTAGCTGGTCTTCTAACCAGAAGGGACCGGTCAGTTCCTCTGCCTCCCAGCGGACAACTCAAATTCATTTTCCAACTTACCTAACATCTTAAACCTTTCTTCTGGGAGAACTGGAAGGTAGAATTTGGTTTCATCGTGTCAGGAGCTGCGTGCAGCCAGGTCTTGTTTTCCCTCACTCCGCCCACTGGCTCCTTGTCTGTGCAACCTGTGCAACCGTGGAGGGGAGGCCCGGCCCCCACCCTCGCCGGTCCCCCCGGAAGTGCGTAGGTACTAAACCTAGCAGTGCAACTTGTAATTAAGCAGCTGCAGTGTTTACATGTTTCTTAATGTGTCGTCTTTTCAATGGCTGTATTTTAAAAAAAAAAAAAGAACACTTGTTTCAGTTGTGTCTCTGATTAAAGGAAGCCCCTGTGGCTTGGAGGCATCGTGCCCATGGTCCCCAGGGCCTGTGGTCTCTTCTGTCTCGCGCTGCGCTGCGGTACTCGCACCCACCTGGCTAGACTCCCCCCCCCCCCCCCAGCACAGTGCCTGCCCTCTCCACCTCGAGGCCACTGCTCAGCAGGAGTGCTTTGTGAATCCTCTTGTAGAAAAGCGCGTGCTGAGGGGAGTCCGGAGTCCGGTGGTGCCCTCATCTGGCAAGCTGTGCTGCAGTTGGAGACAGTTCACACCCTGTGGGACCCAGGCAGCTTGGGCGGGTATGGGAGGCTGGGGTCCGAAGACGAAAGTTTGAGTGGGTGGCAACAGCCGGAGCCTGGCCCTTGGTATCTGGTGCAGTAAAGCAAGACGGGACACGTAACCTCCCCTGCATCTCAGCCAAGGGCACGAGATCTGCACTGGAGTGTTCTGTTCAATGCTACTTGAAGACAAAGGTTTCCCAACTTTGACATTCATGTTTTATTGGGGAGGGTACATGAAGACCACCTCTGACACAGCCCCAGGGGAACCGACAAGCAAGGCGCCACACACCTTCTTTTGTCTTCTAAAAGCTGGTTTCTTTGGAGTCCTGTCTTGCCCGTTCCAGCCACAGGGTCCCAGTTAACTTGGCTCCTTCTCCTCCAAGCTCAAAATAAACTCAAACTCCTCTACCAAAGAAGGAGAGAAAGAGAGCGAGACGTTAGGTGTGGTCTCCTCCTCAACAGGGAAGTAGTGCCAGGCACTCCACATGGTTACTGAGGCAGGCAGTCGTTCATTCAAAACCAGTTAGGGAGCATTTTACGATGTGTCAAAGCACTGCTGGGTCGTGGGTACCCAGTCATGGGCAACGCCGGACCCATGGGTTCCTCCCTCGTGGGTGTTAACAGGTGAGGAGAACTTAAATACTGTGCCCCAGTTTATTTTTTTATTGGTGTTCAATTTGCCAACATCTAGCATAACCCCCAGTGCTCATCCCCTCAAGTCCCCCCCTCAGTGCCCATCACCCAGTCACCCCCACCGCCCGCTCACCTCCTCTTCCCCCACCCCTAGTTCGTTTCCCAGAGTTAGGAGTCTCTCGTGTTCTGTCTCCCTTTCTGATACTTCCCATTCATTTTCTCTCCTTTCCCCTTTATTCCCTTTCACTATTATTTATATTCCCCTAATGAATGAGACTATATAATGTTTGTCCTTCTCCGATGGACTTATTTCACTCCACATAATACCCTCCAGGTCCATCCACGTTGAAGCAAATGGAGGGTATTTGTTTCTAATGGCTGAGGAATATCCCCCTGTATACAGAGACCACATCTTCTTTATCCATCATCGTTCGATGGACACCTAGGCTCCTTCCACAGTGTGGCTACTGTGGACATTGCTGCTGTGAACATCGTGTGCCCCAGTTTAATCAGTAGTTCATGGAGTCATTCGGGCGTGCGAATAACATAAAGAATAGGGCCGGCTCTTACCTGGGGTCAGGGGCTGAACGGAGAGTCTGGGGTGAGTGAACAGAGCCATATTCTTTAAGGGGCCTCCAGTGGCTTTGTGGGCTTGGTGATTGGCTTTGAGCTCAGTCAGGGTAATGTAACGCTTCATCAGCCGAACAAACTGTACATCCACCTACGTGACAGAAAGACAGGTTCAGGTGGGTTCTGTCGACTGCGGGTTTTAGCCTCTGGTGGGACGTCCTGATGGGCAGGGCTGCCAAGTGTCCTGTTCCGAGGCCCAAAGCCAGGGTAACCTCATGTGATGGTAAGAGCTGGACTTTGTAGCTTGACCTAAAGGCACCTCACACCTCCTTCCGCCCTCTCTGTCCATCCTTTTCCTCTCACAAAATAGGAAAAAATTCAGAAGTCTTTACCATGGACCACTTGGGGTTGTCTTCTTTGCTGGATGGGTCATAATAGGGATTGTTTTTCTCAAACTGTGTGTGGTCTGGGTAAGCCTCCTTCACAATCTGTAACCAAAACCAAGTCTCTGATCATACGTCGGTACAGTCACCTCCGTGGCCAATTTTTAGTTCAAGTCCAACCATCCCTTCTGACCCTGCACATAGTCAGCTCTCCTACCTTGCTGTACAGCCACTGTAGCTAGAGCAAGCATCGGGAATCAAACCTGTTTTAACAAAAATCTTAAAAGTATGTTTTAAAACCAAGTATTAGGGGCACCTGGGTGGCTCAGCGGGTTAGGTGTCTGCCGTTGGCTCAGGTCCTGATCTCAGTCCTGGGATGGAGTCCCGCATTGCACTCCCTACTAAGGGGGGGGTGTCTCCTTCCCCCCCCCCGCCCCACTCATGCATGCACGCACATGCGCATGCTCTCTCCCTCTCTGTCAAATAAAAGAACATGAGCACAAGCAGGAGTGGCAGGAAGAGTGGGGGAGAAGCAGGCTCCCTGCTGAGCAGAGAGCATGACGCAAGACTGGATCCCAGCACCCTGAGAGCGTGACCTGAGCCAAAGGCAGATGCTTAACCCACTGAGCCACCCAGGTGCCCCATAAATAAAATCTTAAAAACAAGACACAACCAAGTATTAAAGGTTATTATCAGTGCCATTGTTTTTCCACCTGCAGTTAATAATTTTATCCTAGTAACTTCTCCTTTGGAAGAGCTATCATCAGGCCTGTTTTAGTGAAAGACCACACAGATGAAGAGAAGTCTGTACTGGTGGGACCTGAGATGAAGGCCTGCCCTGTTACAGTCCCTGCTGTGCTGGAGGGACCAGGGTGGGGTTTCCATATCCTTGTGACATCAGGGATGGCGAGGAGAGTACTTGTCTTTTGTGACTGATCTGAGCTGTGTTCCTGTATGTTCACATGAGTAGGTCTCCCTGAAGGGAGGGGGTTAAGATGAACGCCGGTACGACTGACCTTCACTAGTCCTGCGATGCCTGGCTCCTTGCAGTTGCTATGGTAGAAGAAGGCTTTTTGCTCCAGCTTCATGGCTCGAAGGAAGTTCCGGGCCTGTCCCAGGAGAAAAAAACAAGTGTCCTCCTCACCCTCTGGAAAACACTAGTGAACAGAAGTCAAGTCTGCTTTTATTAGATGAGTTTTTCTTTTTTTGCAGCTTCTCCCCAATTCAATACTTGCCTTTGCCGAGACACCTGGACTTGTATCCAGACACTGGCCAGAACACAGGCTACTTGTAAATTATATGCAGAGGAATTAAGGTACTTTTGAACACACGTTCAAGTTGTGGGATCCGGGAAAAAAACCATGTTGGCCAAGAGATTTTGCTACTGAATGAGTCCCAGGAAGGAAACAGGCACTGATCTGACCCTGGGTCGTAGGCCCTGCTCTTACCCTCTTACCTGGTAGTTGCGAACACCATCCCAGCATGCTGTCTGCTTGGGCTCTGCCTTAAGATCCTCAATGCTGAACTAGGCAACAGGAAATGAATTCATGCATTACACAGTCTTGGGGCCAGTTGGTATTATATGGAAAGTAGACAGTTTCTTCCCCTACTCGCTATAGTGAGGTATATAGTTTACTGGGAAGTAGTTCCACAGAGCTGCTTCTATTGGGCAAATGAAGAGTAAGCTTTTGTTACCGTGTTATCTTTGGTAATTAAAAGGACTCATTGAATAGATAATCCAGATGATACAATAATCTGTTGGTTATTTGTATCTCACTCATTAAAGTATTATATTTTTCTCCTATAATAGGCTGTTATTAAAATTGGCTTCTCTTAATTCACTGAATACATACTAACTTGGCAGAGAGATACGTAGGAGCAAGTTAGGTGGCCAAGAGTAAGGCAACCGAAAATTGAAATTTTGCCCAGGTCGGGTTAGCAAACTAGAGCTTTGTGGCCAAATCTGCCCATGCCTGATTTAGTTAGAAATTTTATTGGAGCACAGCCACACCATCTGTTTCCGTGTTGTCCATAGCCACTTCCCTGCAACAACGGCAGAGCTGAAATAGCCATCGTAAGACACAAAAACCTAAAATATTATCCGGCCTTTTACAGAAAAAGTTTGCCACCTCCTGCCCAAGATAGAGGATTCACAAAACACATAGTTGCTGGTAATAAACCCTGCTGATTTTATTCCTATCTTTTCCCCAAGCCTACACTTCAGAGAAGCTGACCATGGAACCCTGTGGTATCCCAAAAACAAAACAAAACAAAACAAAACAAAACAAAACAGCTTGAAGGGATTAGAAAGGTACCTGGTCTCACCTTCACATCTACACCTTTCTCTATTCGGCTTTGTGGCTCAGACTTCATCAGCCAGTAACTGCTTTGATTGTTCCCACAGTTTTTAGAGGCTGAAGTCTTCTCAGGGCTGGAGTCACCCACGCTAGCGGATGTCCCCGTGGGTTTCCTAGTCTTCGTACGTTTTCCTGCTGGCCTCTTACTGTCTGCAACAGAAGCAAGAACAAACTGGTCATGCCTGCGGAGGAGTTAGGCTCCGTTGTGGGAAACCACGTGCTTTGGAGTCAGACCTGGATGCAATTACTGGCAGTAGCAGCTGAATTGGTGAACTTCAGTTTATCTATAAAAATGGGACAGGAATGGCCACCTTACAAGCTATCTCCTGGGTTATCCATTCAGTGGGACAAGAATACTGTACATGGTTGTGGGTGAAGACCGACAGTCCCAACAGAGTCCCTGGCTTCTAGTAAGTAAATTCTTTTCTTTCCCTCACTCTCTTCTATACTTTTGCAAAGGCTATTTCTCCCCAACAAGGAAGCTGAGCACCTCCTCCACAACTTGTTTTGAACATTAAATATGATAGTGCAAACGATGGGCTTAAATAATGGCTGGCATTACAGTATTAGCTCAGTAAATATTAGCTGTTACTATCATCACCATCTCAGGGTTCTCTTTTACTTGCTAACTGTGCTCTGTGGCCTGCCTCCTGCTCCTTGAAGGTGCCAAGAGAGGTTGTGTAAAACAGCTCATTCTGGACTTTGTAGAAGTCCACATGGCGAAGATGACTTTTTTTTTTTTTCCACAGAGAATTAGAGAAAATGTGCCTGGAACATAGTGGGCACTCAATAGCTAATGGTTGTTAAATTCTTACTATATAAGCTCTATTTGTTACCCTAACAGTAAGTCAGTTAATCTACTTAATGTGTGAGATGTTCATCTGCTGAATGCCCCGGATTACACATTTCAGTAAATGGTATGATCAGGACCTGTCCCCTGGTCTATCTGAATCCACACACACCACCTCTGACTTAAGTCCCAGCTCATCCATCAGCTCTCATTAAGTATCATTTATAGATTCCTAGTACTTAGACCCTCCCTGCCCTAGTTTTCAGGTGGTCCCTTTGGAGTGAAGCACACTGCGAACACCACTGTGTTGCTAAGTTACTCAATGTGTTGTAGTTAATCTAGAATCTCTGCCGTTCCAAAAGCACTTTCTCTACCTTCAATTGCTTTGCTCCTGCTCTTCATCTGCTGCTCATCCTTGTCAATATAAAAATGGCACCGCGTTTTGCCTGTGGAAAGCTTTCCCATCTCTAAAGCTGGACTCCAGCTCCACTTCCCTCTCAAGGTGTTCCCTGTGATTCCTCCCTGCTCTCCTACCCTTAGCCAAGGCTTCCTAGACCCTTTCACTGGCGTTTGTCTGCATTCTCCATGAGAGAACTGTATATTCTTGACCTTTGTATGAGCCACTCTATCTACACCAAACTACTGCTGCAGTGAACATACAGAAGAGGCTCAGGGTACAAGCACAGCGGGAAGAGGAAAGGAGACCATGAAGGGGCTGTAGGGATAACATTAACAGAAAACAGTCCAAAAAGGACTCTCCTCCTAGGCAGGGAGTTGAAAGAGAACAGTAATTCTTGGTTTTAAGGATTGATTTGAGAGAGAAAGTGTGAGAGCTTGAGAGCCTCAATATGGGCAGAGAAAGAGAGAGGGCAGCAGCAGGCCCCACGGAGCATGGGGATAAAAGGGGCCTGACCCCAACCTAAGATCATGACCTGAGCCCAAAACAGGAGTAGTCCCACGCTGAGTAGTTCCACCCCCTGAGCCACCCGGGGGACCCTGGCAGGGAGCAGCACTGAACAAATCCCAGAGAAACCTTTACCCGGCTGCCTTTTTGCAGCCCCAGCAGCCCCAAGGAGCCACTCACCTGGCCCAGCAGCCCCAGCAACCCCCAGGTGCCGCTTACCTGGCCCAGCAGCCCACAAGTGCCACTCACCTGGCCCAGCAGACCCTAGGTGCCACTTACCTGGCCTGGCAGCCCCAGTGCCCCCCCCCCCCCAGTACTGCTCACTTGGCCCAGCAGCCTCAGCAGTCCCCAGGTGCCACTCACCTAACTCAGGAGCCCCCAGATGCCTCTCATTTGGCCCAGCAGCCTCTGCAGCCCCCAGGTGCTGATCCCCTGGACCGGCAGCCCCAGCACCCCCTTAGGTGCTGCTCACCTGGCCCAGCAGCCCCTAGGTGCCGCTCATGTAGCCCAGCAGCCCCCAAGTGCCACTCTCCTGGCCCAGCAGCCCCTAGGCGCTGCTCAACTGGCCTGGCATCCCCAGGCAGCCCTAGCAGCCCCCAAGTACCACTCACCTGGCCCACCAGTCCAGCAGTCCCCAGGTGCCACTCACCTAACTCAGGAGCCCCCAGATGCCTCTCATTTGGCCCAGCAGCCTCTGCAGCCCCCAGGTGCTGATCCCCTGGGCCGGCAGCCCCAGCAGCCCCTTAGGTGCTGCTCACCTGGCCCAGCAGCCCCTAGGTGCCGCTCATGTAGCCCTAGCAGCCCCCAAGTACCACTCACCCGGCCCTGCAGTCCCAGTAGCCCCCAGTGGCCCCTCACCTGGTCCAGCCGCCCCCCCAGTGCCGCTCACCTGGCCCGGCAGCCCCGGCAGCCCCAGCGCGCCTCTTCCGGGGGTTCGGCATGGTTTCCTTGCGGGGGCTGCCTAGGAGCCGGGTCTGAACTCAGCCGAGAGGAGCGGGGGCAACTGTGCTGTCGGCCCCAGAACCGCGCAGAGCGGGAGACGCGCGGCCGCAGTCCTGCCGGGGCCGGCCCCCGCCCGCCGTGCAGCCCCCGGTGCAGCCGCCGCCAGCGCCGCGTCGGCCCCCAGACCTTCCCGACCGCGCCGCGCCGCGCCGCGCCGGCCCTCCGCGGTCCCGCCGCCCCGCCGCGCGGCCCTGCCCGGCTCCCGGCGCCGACGCCGCGGCGCTCCCTGGGAGTTGTAGTCCGCGGCGCTCGCGGGCCCAAGGGGCCGGGCGCACAGGCCCGCGGACGCACTACAGCGCCCAGGCTGCCCCGGGGCCGCCCCGCGCACGCCCGAGGTCGCCGCGCCGCCGGGCCGCAGCGCGAGCGGGACGATGTTGCGGAGCGGCTGCCGGCGGCTGGGAGGCTGGCTCCACGGCGCGGCGCGGGCCCGGGCGCGGGGCGGCCGCCGGGGCTGGGCCTCCTGCATCGACCGTAAGGCTCGCCGCGCCGGGCAGCGGGCCGGGCCGGGCGGGGAAGGGGTGCCGCGGCGGGAGCGCCCGGACAGCGCCGCACCCCGGGGCCCTGCTCCGCCCGGGGCCTCCCGCCGCCCCTGCCGAGCCCCCCCACCCCCGTGGTGGGCGGGAAGCCTGGCGCGGGGACAGCCCTGCTCCGCCCCGGGCGCGGGGCCTGCTCGGTGCGGGCAAGCCCGGGCCTTCCTGGAGCCGACGTTCGCGGACGGGCCTCCTGACCTCGCAGCCCCGAGGCGGACTCTTCCCCTCCCTGCGGGGGCCGCGGGGCCGCGGGCGCGGGCGCTCTGGCCTCGTGCTGGGTGACGGGGACGCCGAGGGCGGGGCCGATGAGGGCTCGGGCTGCTTCCTCAGGTGACACAGGCCGCGGGGGTAAATTGTAGGATCTATGACTCGGGGTCATGAAGCACTCGGGATCTTGAAACTCCCGTTGAAACGCAGTTGTCACCGAAAATGGGGGCTACTGCCCAGGGTTAACAGAGCGGGGCGTCTTCAGGCACCAGGCGCATGCTGCGATGCGACTGACAGGGGTGCCGGCCGGCGAGGGATGCCCAGCCTCGGTTTTTCTCCTTCTGAGGGAAAAAAGGGAAAAGAACAGCTTTTTACCGTATGTCACTTTTCTTCCCAACAGGATAGGTATGAATCCCTTAGGTCGACACCCAGCTCTGCGCCTACACTAGTCTGCAATACCGTTTCCCTCTCGCCGTCCTAAAGCTCCTTCACAAGGTGCCACCCTGTTCCAGCAAGTAGAGTCGTTAACAGTTACCCTTGCCGATCCCAGGGCAGATAAGTAGCTGTTCTGGCAACAAATAGATTAAATATTTGATAGGTTAATGACATTAGATGACAAATAGGCTAAATATGCAGGGGTATTTTTTTTTTTTTAAAGATTTTATCTATTTATTCATGAGAGACACACAGAGAGAGGCAGAGACCCGACCCAGGCAGGGGGAGAAGCAGGCTCCATGCAGGGAGCCCGACGCAGGACTCGACCCCGGGACCCCAGGATCACGTCCTGGGCTGAAGGCAGGGGCTAACCCTCTGAGCCACCAGGGATCCCCTGGGGTGTTTTTAGCAGCTGGTTGTGTGGCTTCAGCCAAGGAGGTACTTTTTTTCACCTTTCAGAGAAAGTACCTCTTCGTTAGTAAAATGAAAGGAAACTGCCCTTTCAATGCGTCATTCTACATATTAAAGTTATCAGGTTAACGAGAGTGGTTAACAGATACATCTTTGTTTCGTTGCATATCTTAATAAGCGAAACATGAGTTTTAGGAGAATTTTTAGTCGTATTTTATTTCTGCAAGACTTTGCAAATTCATGAGCTGACTGTCAGCCAGGAACTGCGGATTGTTTGTCCCTAACCTGTGTTACTGTGAGTAACCACCGACGTTAAGTTTCGTCTCTGGGCTTCTCAGAGTTGCCTACCTGTAATCCTCACAAGTCTTCCTTTCTGAGTTTGCCCGATACAGACCGACTGCTTTCTCATGGCTCCTGCTTGCTGCCCATGCCCGCCCTGGAAAAACTCCGCCATCAGCTCCTCTTCTCTGTTGGCAGGACTGTGCATCACTGTTAGGCACTGAAATAAGTTATTGCCAAGTGTCTCATAGCCTTACGTTAACACACTTTAGCATCACCCCATCATGACCACATAGTTAGCACTAAAGGATGAAACCTGAGAAGGTAATACAGAGCCCTGCACTTCTTTCCACCTCATGTTTTACAGCCACCACTCTACCTCAGGGCTTCTCTTGGAAAAGTATAGGCATACACTCATTTTCTGTTACACACCTGAGGCAGGTGGTCCTTTCAAAATGACAGTAATAAAAGACAACAAAAGAGACATAAATGTGAACAACGTAAGTCTGGCGCACCCTGTGTAGGTTACTGATCTGGGATGCGTCAGCTCCCAGGATATGTGGTCCCATCTTTTGTAAGTTGGCTACACTATCCCCAAAAGGTGATTGTTTTCCCGGGAGCTTTACTAGGGCTGTTTAGGTTAAACCTGTAAGTACTACTATGGGGTAGTCTTTTATTAGATGTTTAATGTTCTAGAGAAACTTCTAGTGAGGCTGCACTACCTACCTGTTGATGTCTGTCAATTTATCTTCCTTAGCTTTTAAGTATCTTAAACCCCAAAACGAGGGAATTACCCAAAGTCACATCACTGATATAGTTTATGATAGAAACGTCCTGAGATTTTGGAGTCCGTCGGGTAAAAACATAGAATAAGGCCTTATTAACCATGTTTTCAACACTGCAAGATCTTTTTCTACCATCAGGGTTATTGGTGAATGTTTGAAATTTGCCAAAGGCACAGCCTTATTAGAGGGTTTTCTTAATTTGAAAGGTAGAACAAAGTATACATATGTTCCTTTTTCAATTAATCTTTTAAAATGAATGTTTTGAAACAGCTATGGAGATTCATAGGACAGATTTTCCCAGGATACCAATACACAAAATGTAGGACATCCTAAAGGAAAAAATGTTTACCATGATTTGAAGGTCAGTGTGTATTTACTATTTCTTTAATGTGGATTTATGAGGAGGAAGAGATACAGAAGAATACTGAAAGAATAAGCAGTTAGGAGGTAAATGAAGTCAGCCAATCCACTAGGGAGGAAAGGAGGAAGGGAAAAGGAGAACTCATTAATGGTAGGCAAAGCCATTCTATAGATGGTAAAGATTATACTGTGTAAGAGAAATGCATGCTATGGCATGTTCCCTGTCTTTAATTTCATGTTTCTTGATCTTGGCACTAGTTTTCCCTGACCCCTGTCCTGGAACTGAATATGTGCAATTTTACCCACAGCTTCCGTGGGACTGAATGAAGACCAGAAAGAATTTCAGAAAGTGGCCTTTGACTTTGCTGCCCGGGAGATGGCTCCAAATATGGCAGAGTGGGACCAGAAGGTGGGCGTTTTCCTTGTGACTAGATGTTCCAACAGATGCCTCCCTTCGTGACCCTTTGTCTTCATCCCCCATGTAGTCCTAATTGTTTGGTATTTATTCTCCTTGTGCAACTCTCTTACTGCAAATGAGAGTTCTAGTAGTGCTGTGATTCCTTTCCTCATCTCGTAGAGACTAGTTTTGAGTTTGTTTGTCTTTCCTTTTAAATCATACAAAGATGTAGACACTCTTAAAACCAAGGCAGTTCTCTTGATAATAAAAAGAAACTTTAATGGTAGAAAAACCAGTGCTTATAGACGGCGTTCTAACTGCTACTGTAGATAACAAATAGCCCATTAAGTTAAGAGAATATACACTCTCCCAAATGCAAACATCTTAATCCCTCGTTGTGCCCTTCAAAGCTAGGTCCATCTGTGAATCACTAACGTCCGTGTTGTCTTTTGTACGTAGGAGTTGTTCCCAGTGGACGCAATGCGGAAAGCTGCTCAGCTAGGCTTCGGGGGAGTCTATGTACGAACAGATGTAGGTGGGTCTGGCCTGTCACGGCTTGATACATCTGTTATCTTTGAGGCCTTGGCGACAGGCTGCACCAGCACCACGGCCTATATTAGCATCCACAAGTGAGTGCCAAAGCTTGGTAAGCACAATGAAGTACTTGTACAGGTTAACTGGGAAATTTCAGATAAATAGGGAAAAGTTCATCTTTTCAAGTTGATTGCCATTATCAACATTGATAGTTGAGCCTCTATCTCAAAAAATGAGGGGGAGGGATGCCTGGGTGGCTTGGCTCAGTTGGTTAAGCACCCAACTCTTGATTCCAGGTCAGGTCATGATCTCAGGGTTATGGGATTGAGCCCTGCATTGGGCTCCACACTGGACATGGACCCTGTTTGGGTCCCTCTGCTCCCTACCTCGCTCACCCGCACATGCACTTGCTCGTGCTCTCTCTCCCTCTCTCTCTCTCTCAAAACAAAAAAGTTCACTCTAGTTTGCTGCTGCCTCTTGGACTTGAATCTGCCATCATGTTGCATAGCAAATGAGGTGTGCCCACCTTCTCCCAAATCCTAGATTGAGCTAGAAGCAAACAGACTTCTCCAGGAGAGTAGTCATGGTCCTGTTCCCATCTTCCTCAACCCACAGATGAAGCCTCCAGAAATTTGTCAAAGTACATATAAGTCTTTGATTTTTAGGGAACTCATCTTACCTAGAAGTAGAGTGAACATCCAAGTGAGAAACACCCTGGCCCTGGGTAGTACTGTTCCGGGAATATGATGTAACGGAGGCCTTTCCTTTAAAGTCGAATCTTTTCAGTGGCGACTCCTCTCTTCCCACTCTCTCTCCTGCTTCATTCTGCTTTGCTGCTGGTGTTTCCCGTCCCCATCCCTTTGCCCTTCAGATGTCCTTTTCTCCATATTAACTCTGTCATTGTCTTTTCTTCTCGGTGTACCTGTCAGCATGTGTGTCTGGATGATAGATACCTTTGGAAATGAGGAACAGAGGCACAGGTTTTGCCCACCGCTCTGTACCATGGAGAAGTTTGCCTCCTACTGCCTCACTGAACCAGGTGCGTTTGCCACCCTGCTGGTGAGACCTAGCAGGGAATGCTGCTCAGGTGAAATCACCGCGCACTCTCTGGTCCCCCTGACACACAGAACCCTTGTTTACCACGAAGTCTGGTTGTGGAGTAACAACCATGGCCTGATGTCAGCTAGCCTACGAGGGTTCGAGGGCCGACTCTGGCCTGGGAGATGGACAGTGGTCCAATTGCTGTCCACAGTTTTCACCAAACACCGAGTTCCTCAGTCTGCGTTTTTTTTTTTTTTTCTTTTAAAGATTTATTTATTTATGATAGGCACACAGAGAGAGAGAGGCAGAGGCAGAGACCCACAGGCAGAGGGAGAAGCAGGCTCCATGCCGGGAGCCCGATGCGGGACTCGATCCCGGGACTCCAGGATCGCGTCCTGGGCCAAAGGCAGGCGCCAAACTGCTGAGCCACCCAGGGATCCCCCAGTCTGCGTTTTAAAGTATGAAATGCTGAGCTTTTGGTTGTAAGTGATTTCCTTGGAAGTGGAACCGTGCTGGGGCTCCTGTATCTTCACTGACTTTGTGTCCCACCCTCTCTGCCTTAGGAAGTGGCAGTGATGCTGCCTCCCTTTTGACCTCAGCAAAACGACAAGGAGATCATTACATCCTCAATGGCTCCAAGGTACCAGCATGCCCACCCTACAGAACCATCTGGAGATTGTTCCCATCTTCCTGCGGACATCCCCGGGATCCTTGCTATCTGCGAATTAATATTTCCTAGGAGTTTTACACGTTGGGTAGAGAACCTCAGACCTATTTCCCTTTATTTACCTTCACTTTGTCTTCTGCTCTGAGTCCAGATAATCTTGCTCATTTAGTCTTGTCAGCCAGATCCCTGATTCCCCAGGTAGCACAGGTTCTTTCTCCCCTCCTTCATTTCTCCGTGCCAGCATGCCTCTTCATGTCCTACCGTCGGAGGGACTCTGGTAGTTTTCCCAGGTGTTAGGCTCCAGGGTGTGTGTCCTGATCCCGGTGCACCTCTCTCCAACCCCCAGGCCTTCATCAGCGGTGGGGGTGAATCAGACATCTATGTGGTCATGTGCCGAACAGGAGGACCAGGCCCAAAAGGCATCTCCTGTGTAGTTGTGGAGAAGGGGACCCCTGGCCTCAGCTTCGGCAAGAAGGAAAAAAAGGTGAGTGACTGTTGGACACAAAACAGTTCAAGTTAAAACCATTCAAGAGTCTGCCACCTGCCAGACCGATCTCTGTTCTGTTTTGGGGAATAGGTTACTTACTTGCTAACTTGTCTTGGGGGCAGTTGTTTCTATTAGGATTTCGACAGGAGCCTATGGAATAGAATAGGGTGTGGCTGAAGGAATACCTCACCACTGGGAAAAATGTCAGAGTTCACCAGTAGGTTTCATAAGCTGCCTGTCATTTTAGCACGAGAGATTTCTCTGACATCTGTCCCAACTCCACTGCTGACCTGTTTCTTATCCAGCTTCTTATTTTGGCACACTCTTTTATCCCAGGAGGAAATACTTACAGATCCGGGGGTGACTAGAAATTTCAGGAAGGGAAAGCGTATAGGCCACTTTTCTTCTTTAAATAAAAATAAGATAGAACTCCCTGGAGATGATCTTGGGTTTCAGTAATGTAAGAGGGAGAGTATTTCTGTAGGGGCTTTGAAAAGACATTCTTAGGATTAAGAAATCCCGTAGCCAGATGGTGAGTCATAGAACTGGGATTGCGTAGCTGTAGCTGGCGGTGTGGTGAGACCCCTTCGGATGTGTTAGGCCAGGGCCCGGAAGCACCCTCCACCTCCAATAGGTACTGTTAGAGCTAGGATCGGGGGAGAGGTCGGTAACAAAACGAGCCCTAAATATGCTTCTCCATTCATCGCTCTTAGAGGGTTTCTGTATTTATTTCCCTCACGAGCTTTCCTGATACTTTATGAACTGCCAAAGAGTTAGAGGCTTTAGTGCCCTTTCTCTTTTTTAGTATAGTAGGCTTTTACTGAATTGCTACCATGTGCAAAGCCTGATGCTGGCTCCTGGGGTGGAGGAGGATACAAAAGTCGCTCCTAAGCTTATCTGGAATGGTAAGACACACGCAGTCTTACCTGTATAAGGTGTGCAAGCTGTGTAAGTGGTATGTAACTTGTATATGGGATATATAAGATATACAGCTGCGAGGAATGTCTGCATTGGGTCCTGCAATGTGGGCTGACCTACACAGCCTGACATAGAATTTTACAGGATCGAGTTATACGATTCAGTTTGTTTGTGCTTGTAAAGACAGTGACGGTTAGTTCAACACGCGGGGATGGTGTCCACCTCAGTATTTGTGGTATCTGCGACAGAATGCCGAAGCTGTCAAGTTTCACGCCTACAGAAAAACTGCAAATAAGTTGCAGAAACAGTGTATCTTTTCTTCCTTTCGTTCTTGGTTTTCTCTCCCTTTTAAGCGTATACATCTTCTTCCTTTTTCGGTTTATTTAATTATTAGTTTTGCCTTACATATTTTTTAATGTGAGGGTAACTTGGAAGGACATCTCTGTATTCATTCTGCGGGTGATGAGTGCCCAGTATGTGCCAAGCATTTGTAAACAGTAGGGGAAGAGCAGTGAACAAAGGCAAGCTCTGTCCTCCTGGAATTCACCTTTCAGCAAGCAGGGACAGGGAACAGACATGTGAATAAGCAGGGTACCTTCTGGTAGTGCTCTGTTCTACGAGAGACATAAATCAGGTTGATAGGACACTGACTGAGGGAGCTTGAAAGCTTCTGTAATAGGGCTGGACCCTCAGAGGTCATGACTTTTGAGATGAGATCCAGAGTATTAGAAGAAACAACCATAAGACCAATTCTGGGCAGAGACAACAGTGGATCGCCTGTTTGGGAAGCCAAAGAAACAGGCAGTATGGCCCTAAGGTTAGTGAGCAAAGAAGAGAATGGTGTGGAATGGAATTGGACAGGCAGGCAGGGGCTTGCAGGCTGAAGTGGAGAGTCACTGCCCTGAATGCCACGCTGTTTGGACAGCCATACAGTCCCTGATTTTTGCCAGGTGGGGTGGAACTCACAGCCAACCCGCGCGGTGATCTTTGAAGACTGTGCAGTGCCTGTGGCCAACAGAATTGGAAACGAGGGACAGGGCTTCATCATTGCCATGAAAGGACTGAATGGAGGAAGGATCAATGTTGGTGAGAACACAACAGGATGAGGCAGGAAGGTAGCTGGCGGGCGCTAGCAGCACTGCCTGGCTCTGTTGAAATGTTGGCACTCTTCCTTTCCAGCTTCCTGCTCGTTAGGAGCTGCTCATGCTTCAGTCGTCCTCACGCGAGACTACCTCAGTGTTCGGAAGCAGTTTGGAGAGCCTCTGGCCAATAACCAGGTCATTTCCCAGATGCCCCTGCATGAGACCTGCTCTGTGGCCCACATTCTCGAGGAGGGTGAAGGCTGTGGGTTCTCACTGGACTTCTGCCCCCACCTTAGAACTTGTGTTCTAATTTTATCAGTAATCGTTTTCAGGAGGTGATATCGAAGTGCAGGGCAAGGGAAGTGTGCTTAGAGCTCACAAGGCAGTACATTTTCTCTGTAGAAGAGGCAGAGACTTTGAAGCTTGGGGTCACTTAGAAAAGGTACCTCGTGAGAGATGTCTTATAGAGGGCCCCAGATCAGGTGCTGGTCTAAGCCTGTCTGTCTTGTCCGGTTCTCTCCTCCCCTGTTGCTGCAGTACCTGCAATTCAAACTGGCTGATATGGCAACAAGGCTGGTGGCCTCCCGGCTGATAATCCGCAATGCAGCAGTGGCCCTGCAGGAGGAGCGAGAAGATTCAGTGGCCCTGTGCTCCATGGCCAAGCTCTTCGCTACAGATGAATGCTTTGCTGTGCGTGATGATGCCCTCTGGCTGTCTTGGGTAGACAAGGAGCAGCTGCTAGTCCAGGGATGTTGAGAGCCGTTAGTCTACTCCTGGGATGCTGCAGACATTGCCTTGGGGCTTAAGGATACCGTGCACTCATGAGACGCCTGCTTGGGACCTGCTCCATGCCTTTACACACTCCACTGTGTCACTGCCATTTGGTTGTGTTCTAGATGAGACACTACCTTTCGAAGAAGGTTCAGAGCAGCCCAATGCCTCTTGCTCAAATGTAGCACTACGCTATGTTTACGATATCAGGGGCAAAACTATTTCCACATGAGGCTGCATTGCTGCTAGTTGGCATCATAGCGTCACAGAATTGCAGCCAGAGTGCTTGAGGGCGGCCTCTCCCCTGCAGGTAATAGACGGGCAGAGCTCTCTCTCTGAGTTGCCTGCCTAGTGTGAACCCAGAAGTTTGGTAGGTAAAGTTCCCTTGTTATCTAACCACGCAGAATACAGACCCCTCCTTTGGGCTGGTCATCTGTAGGTTGTTCTTTCTCCTGTTAGATTATAGCAGGTGCCAGATTGGGGGCTGGGGTAGGAAGAGAAGCCATGTTTCCACAATCTTCCTCAATCAAAGATGTCTAATCCCTGTCTCCCTGAAGATCTGCAACCAGGCTTTACAGATGCATGGAGGCTATGGCTACCTGAAGGACTATGCTGTTCAGCAGTATGTGCGGGACTCCAGAGTCCATCAAATACTAGAAGGTAAAAATTGCCAAAGCTGTTCTCCAGAATGGTTAGCGGATCAGCGCTTTCCCCAGCCTGTCTGTCCCCGTGCTGACTGGTTCTCAGGGTTCAATCAGGCCCTGTCTCTTGCCTTCCTCCTCCCTCTTTCTCCTGCCCCTGCTCTGGAAGTGTCTGTGGGTGCCGTACAGAGCACTCACCTGGGAGTCAGGAGGCTCTGCGTTGTCACCGTGGGTAAGCCGTCAGATCACTCCATTTCTGCTCTTTCTCTTTGCAGATTTTAGAGAACACTTAAACTCAGATAATGTACGAGAAAGCATTTTGAAAACTACAACAGTAATCCTTACCAAGTCCTTGGTCCTCAGGGATCCGAAAAGCTCTGTCCCGTAATTAACAGGGCAAGTGTGAGCTAATTTGATCACAAGCAGCCTCTATAAATTGATGACATTTCTGTCAGTATTGCTAATGGATTTTTCAGTAAACGAAATCATATGGCCATTTTCTTGGCAATCACAGAATGGATTGGGCTGGAAAAGGTGTAAGCTGCTGGGATCCAGCTCAGAACATGGCCTCTTCCACTCCCCACACATGCAGAAGTCTTGAAATCACATACTCCTGTGTCGGTGTTGGCAGCCAGCTGTGGTTACCTTGTAGGAGAGCCAGGTGGGGCAAAGTCTTGCCGAAGTGCCTTTCAGTGCAGGAATGTGGGGCGGCTCCCACGCAGGCACAGGAGAGGCCTGTGGGCATTTTTACAGCATTCTTGAAGCTGAGGAGATGCCAGGATGCCCCGGAGGGCTTGTGAAAGTGGATTGCTGGGCTTCACACCCAGAGGTCCTAACTCCGTGGGTCTTGGGGAGGCCTCAGAATTTTGCATCTCTAACAGGTTTTCAGGTGAGGCTGCCGCTGCGTGTCTGGGAACCCCACTCAGAACCACCGCTCTGATGCCATGTGCAAATCCTAAAAGTTAGAGTCTGCTCTCTTCTGCAGACCTCGTCCCTGAAATAGGTCGATGAGCTCAGTCACTGGTGCACAGGTTCGTCCAGTTGCTCCTGCAGTTAACCTCCTTACCCGGCATTTATGGATGACAGGTTTAGGAGGTACTTCCCTGCTTGTCTGACAACATGAGACTTCTCCTTTATTCCGGCTTCACCTTGTAACCTTGTAAGACGAAGTGGGAAAAGCCAGTTACATTTATTTGAGCCATGCCATTATCCACTTACAGAAAATTTGGGGCCCTGGTCTTTATCACTTTATTTCATTGTGGACTTTGTTATTGGATAAACCTGCAATCTTTGATTTTATTTGAGATGTTTGATTACTCATTCCTCGTGGGTGTTCATATTTCTCTTTGCATTAAAAGCCACTATAAATTATAAATGAAGCAAGAAGTTGACCCCTCCTTTCAGGGAAATGTTTTTGTTTGTTCTTTTAAAATTCACTTTTCTGATTACCAAAGAAATTGGTATATTTATTGTTGAAAGCTTATAAAATATAGGGAAGGTAAAAGAAAACCACTCATGTTTCCACATTCAGAATTAATATTTTGGATTCCTGTTATAGGGAAGTCCAAAATCCTGCTGTGTGGCTGTCCAGTCCTGGATTTTTCTTTGTTGGGAGGTTTTTGATTGCCAGTTTAATTTTGTTACTAATAATCAATCTGTTCAGATTTTCTATTTTTTTCTGACTCAGTCTTGGAAAATTATATGTTTCTAGGGATTTATCTGCTTCTTTCTCCTAAGTTGTCCAGTTTGTTGACACATCATTTTTCATGGTAGCCTCTTATGATCCTTATGTTTCTGGAGTTGTAACTTCTTTCATTTCTGATTTTATTCATTTGAGTTCTTTTTTTTTTTTTTCTTAAGTCTGGCTAAAGATTTATCAAGGTTGTATATCTTTCCAAAGAAGAGGCTCTGAGGGCAGCCCCAGTGGCTCAGCGGTTTAGTGCCGCCTTCAGCCCAGGGCGTGACCCCGGGGTCTCAGAATCGAGTCCCACATTGGGCTCCCTGAGTGGGGCCTGCTTCTCCCTCTGCCTTTGTCTCTCATGAATAAATAAATACAATCTTTAAAAAAAAAAGAAGAAGAAGAAGAAGAGGCTCTGAGTTTCACTGATCTTTTATATTGTTTTTTTAGTTTCATTTATTTCGCTCTGGACCTTTATTATTTCTTTCCTTCTACTAACTCTGAGTTTGTTCTTTTTTTTTCCTAATGCTTTTAGACGTATACTTAGATTGTATATTTGAAATTTTTCTTGTTTTGTTTTGTTTTTTTAAGTAGGCTCAACCCCAAAGTGGGGCTTGCACTCACAACCGTGACTCTACTGACTGCACCACTCAGGTGCCCCCATGTTTTTCTTGTTTCTTGAAGAAAGGTTGTTTCACTATAATCTTGCCTATTAGACAGCTTTTGCTGTGTCCCAAAGATTTTGGAACATTGTCTTTCTGTTTTTATTTGTCTCCTGGTATTTTTTAATTTCCTGTTGATTTCTCTCTTGATGAATTTGTTGTTTAATAGCATGTTGTTTAGTCTCCACATGTTTTTCTACCATTTTTTTCTAGTAATTGATTTCAAGTTTTATATCATTGTAGTTGAAAATCAATGCTTAGTATGATTTCAGTCTTTTTAAATGTATTGAGACTCATTTTGTGGCCTCGCATGTGGTCTTAGGGAATGTGCACTCCCTTGTGCTCATGAACAGAATGTGTATTCTGACATTTTTGGATGGAATGTTCCGTATATATCTGTGAAGTCCTGAAGTCCTGTCTGTTCTAACGTGTCATTCAAAGCCACTGTTTGCGTACTAAGTTTCTGTCTGGATGATCTGTCCATTAATGTAACTGGGGCGTTAAAATCTTCCACTATTGTATTACTGTTAATTTCTGTCTTTATGTCTGTTAGTATTTACTTTAAATATTTAGGTGCAGTTGCATTGGGTGTACAGATATTTATAATTGTTACATCCTCTGGTTGGATTGGTTCTTTTATCATTCTTTGTGTTTTGTTATAGTCTTTCTTTTAAAGCCTTATTTTAGGGACACCTGAGTGGCTCAGTGGTTGAGCGTCTGCCTTTGGCTCAGGGACTGATCCCAGATTTCCGGGATCAAGTCTCAAATCAGGTTCCCTGCATGGAGCCTACTCCTCCTCCCTTTGCCTGTATCTCTGCCTCTCTGTGTCTCTCATAAATAAATAAAATCTTTAAAAAAATAAACAAAATAAAATAAGGTCTATTTTACCTGATATCAATATTGTTACCCTAGCTTTGTAAAAATTTTACCTTTGCATAGAATATCTTTTTCCATCCCCTCACTTTCAGTCTGTATGTGTCTTTAGGTCTGGAATAAGTCTCTTGTAGGCAGCACATAGATGAGTCTTGTTTTTTTTTTTTATCCACTCAGACACCCTTTGTCTTTTGATTGAAGCATTTAGTCCATTTACATTTAAAGTAATAGTAATATTGATAGATATGTATTGAGTGTCATTTTGTTAATTGTTGTCTGGTTGTTTTCATTCAGTTTCTTTTTTCTTTTCTTGCTGTCTTCCCTTGTGACTAATGACTTACCTTAATGTTACACTCCGATTCCTTTCTCTTTATTTTTTGTGCGTCTCTTACAGGTTTTTGGTTTGTGGTCACCATGAAGTCCATGTACAACATCCCATTATATAGCAGTCTGTTTTAAGTGATGGTTGCTTAAGTTCAAACACATTATAAAAGCAGTACTTTTTTAGCACCCCGTTTTATGTATTTGATATTTTATGATCCCCTTGACTAATTTTTTAGATATAAGTGATTTTACTACTTTTTCTTTTAACCTTCACACTAGCTTTATAAGTGATTGATCTACTACCTATATTACATGTTGCTTTTACCAGTGAATTTTTTTCTTTCATAATTTACTTCTAGTTGTTGCCTTTTCTTTTCAACTTAAACAAGTCCCTTTAAACTTCTTGTAAGGTCAGTTTAGTGATGATGAGCTCCATTAACTTTTGTTTGGGAAACTTTTTTTTTTTTTTAGGATTTTATTTATTTACTGAGAGAGAAAGAGAGAGAGAGAGAGAGCACATGAGCAGGGGAAAGGAGCAGAGGGAGAGGGAGACGCAGACTCTGTACCAAGCACAGAGCCCAGCGTGGGGCTCGATCCCACGACCTTGAGATCATGACCTGAGCTGAAATCAAGAGTTGGACACTTAACCTCCCAGGCACCCGTATCTGGAAAACTCTTTATCTCTCCTTCCATTCTAAATGATAGGCTTGCCAAATAGACTATTCTTGGTTGTTATTTTTTTCCCTTTCAGCACTTTGAATATATCATGCCACTTTCTTCTGGCTGCAAAGTTTTTACTGAAAAATCTGCTGATAGCCTAATGGGTGTTTTCCCTTGTACATAACTATTTGCTTTTCTCTAGCTGCTTTTAAGATTTCTCTCTCTGGGGATCCCTGGGTGGCTCAGCGGTTTGGCACCTGCCTTTGGCCCAGGGCGTGGTCCTGGGATCGAGTCCCCCGTCGGGCTCCCGGCATGGAGCCTGCTTCTCCCTCTGCCTATGTCTCTGCCTCTCTCTCTCTATCATAAATAAATAAATAAATCTTTAAAAAAAAGATTTTTCTCTCTCTCTTTTTAAGATTTTATTTATTTATTCATGAGAGACACAGAGGGAAAGAGGCAGAGGGAGAAGCAGGCTCCACACAGGGAGCCCAACATGGGACTCGATCCCGGGTCTCCAGGATCACGCCCTGGGCTGAAGGTGGCACTAAACCGCTGAGCCACCGGGCTGCCCTAAGATTTCTCTTTCTATGTTATTTTTACCATCTTAATTATTATATATATTTTATGTCTTGGTCTGACTCCCCTGGTTTTACTTGTTTGGGGCTCTCTATGCTTCTAGAAACTGTATGTTTTTTTTCTTCCCAAGAGTAGGGAAGTTTTTAGCCATTATTTTTCAAATAAGTTTTCCGCCTCTTTCTCCCTTCTCCTTGTGGGACCCCAGTAGTGCAAATGCTAGTATCCTTGATGTTGTCCCACAGGTCCCTTAACCAATCCTTTTTTAAAATTCTTTTTTCTGGGGATCCCTGGGTGGCGCAGCGGTTTGGCGCCTGTCTTTGGCCCAGGGCGCGATCCTGGAGACCCGGGATCGAATCCCACGTCAGGCTCCCGGTGCATGGAGCCTGCTTCTCCCTCTGCCTGTGTCTCTGCCTCTCTCTCTCTCTCTATCATAAATAAAATAAAATAAAATAAAATAAAATAAAATAAAATAAATAAATAAATAAATTCTTTTTTCTTTTTGCTCTTCAGCTTATTTGCTTTATACTACCCTGTCTTCCAGATTGCTGATCCATTCTGCATCCTCTAATCTTCTGTTGATTCCCTTTAGAGTATTTTTTCATTTTAGTCTTCAACTTTTTTTTTTTTCTGTTTTCTATCTCTTTCCTGAAGTTTTCACTAAGTTCATCCACTCTTCTCTCAAGGCCCCTGAGCATCTTTATGACCATTATTTTGAAACTTTATCAAGTAGACTCCTTATCTCTGTTTGTTCAGGTCTTTTTCTGAGGTGTCTTGTTCTTTCATTTGGAGCATATTCTTGTCTCCTCATTTTTGTTTTTTCTGTATTAGGTAAGCCAATTGTGTCTTCTGGTCCTGAAGCTAATGCCTTAGATGGAAGGCATTCTGGGAGCTTAGTAGCACGATCCTCCCCTTGTGCTGTTGAGTCTGGGCCGTGACTACTGTAGGCACACTGGTGGCTAGCTGCCAGGCCCCCTTGTGCGTCTTGTGGGTATGCTAGTGAGTGGCAAGGACTTCGGTTGAGGGCAGGCACCAGCCCCTAGTGATGTTGCCTACCAGCTATGGTGGACAGTACCTGCTTGGAGGGACATCTGCTGAGCTGAGTGTGTTGAGCCAGGCAGGTCTGCAGGAGAATGCCAGGGTGGGGCAAGCAGTGCTAGCCAGGTAGGTGGAGGAGGTCTTGCTCCCAAAGCATCTGGCCGACTAAGCTTAGGAGTACAAGAAAAATGGCACTTGCTCACACTTCCATTACCAGAGAAAGTTCCTACAGATCCCTGGCCCTCTGACACATACCTGAAAATTAGTCATTAGGCCTCCTTCATGTATGACGCACGAGTTTTTCGAACTGCTGCCTCTGTGGTGGGCTCTGAATGACTGTCACTCTGTTGTGGGCCCGTTAAGAGTAGTGTCTCAGTTTCCTGTAGCTCCCTGGCTCTCCAAGAGTTAAGGTCCACTGATTTCCAAAGCCAGACAATATGAGGCCTCATCTTCCCAGTGAAGATCTCCAGGGCACGGGGTGCCTGATGTGGGACTTGAACCTCTTGCTCCTTAGGAGGGACCTCCACACCTGTGAAACTTCCTGCTTATGGGTCACTGAGTTGTGGTTTGGTTCCCAACAGTCTGTGTCCCTCCTACCCTTCTCGATGTGACTTTTTCTTTGTATCTTTAACTATAGAAGAGCTGTCCTGCTAGAGTTTGGGTTTTCAGAGTAGATTTTGGTGTACGTAGTTGTGACCTTAGTGTGTCTATGGTGAGCTCAGCATCTTCCTACTAAGCCATCTTCCCCTCTCCTGGAGGGATGTTTTTATTTATTTATTTATTTATTTATTTATTTATTTATTTATTTATTTATTTATTTAGACTTAACTTTTTTTTTTAAATAAATTAATTTTTATTGGTGTTCAATTTACCAACATACAGAATAACACCCAGTGCTCATCCCGTCGTGTCCCCCTCAGTGCCCGTCACCCATTCACCCCCACCCCCCGCGGAGGGATGTTTTTAAAGAGTAAACTTACTCCTTACTTCCTGACATTATTCTGTACTTTGGAGAGAAGTCTGTGATAATCCCATCCCTCTCAGAGTGAAAGCAACAATTGTAGTTTATATCCACTACTACCATGAATGAGGCTTGGAGCACCCTGGGCAAAGCTTTACCAAGCACTTTACTGCAACTAAATCTTTCATTATTTCTTCCCCTTGTAGGCAGCAACGAAGTGATGAGGATGCTGATCTCTCGAAGCCTGTTTGAGGAGTAGCACCCAGACTTGATGTTTGGACATGATGGTTAATGTACAACTTGAATCAGTATTGAGAGCTTTCATGTGGACTGTTGTGTTGGATATGAATCATGGATTAGATTGAAGGGCTGAGCTCTTCCAGGTGGATCCTATGGTGTGTGTTGGGAGCAGCATCAGCTCTAGGACCGGGACAGAGTCCTCAGCAGAACTGGAGGAATTGTCCTAATTGGGAATGTCACAAGAAGATGTACTACCTTGTATTCTGATGCAAAAAGATGACCAGTGAAGATTCACCACCAAATCAAAGTCCTTTCTTGGATCCACATCATCTTGATTTGTCTGCATTTTGCTGTTTCACTAAATCTCTCTTCCAGGGATCTGGATGCTTCCATTAAGGGTTTTTTCTGATGATAAAGCAAAGGTGTAAGAAAGGAGAAATGGAGAAAAAATGTCCTCCTGTTTTTTCCTGTGCCCTGAACCTCAGCTAAAGGTGCAGAAGGTTTCTGTGGGTTGCATTTCCTTTGTAGTACTCCTGTGAATGTAAATCATGTTAAAATGAGTATTTGGGAAACGTTACTCCAGGTGTGATTTAGGGTATATCTGCACTTGTATACTTCCTAAATATCAAGGACTGAAATAATATGGGACTCTGAGTTCTCATTGTTTTCTTTTTTAGAAGCGTGTGGTCTAGGAATGGTATTCAAGTATCTATAACTCCTCCTGACACGTACTTTGAGATATTTTCTGATTTATCATTATAAGTCCATAGGGGGGAGAGAGAGAATGATTTGGCAAAAGTGGTGGTAGGAAGGGATTCATCAAGACAGTAAAAATTCAAATTAAACTTTTATGAAAATGTATAATATCTAAAGAGAACCAAGAAAGTCATTTTCAGACAGGAAGGAAGAAGGAACAGGAAAAGTGCAGAATTAGTGTGAGAGCTTCTTGCAACTTTGCCTTGTTATGCTTTGGGCTTGGCGTGGGATGGAAAGAAAATGTAAGTTGAATCTGGGTGGAGAGTTACTAAAACCGAAGTGTGGGTTTTATTTCATAAGCAGTGGAGAGGCAGAGAAGGTTTTTAATGAAGAAATGATAAGTCATTGATAAGAATATTCTGGAATGCCTTTGCAGGATGAATATGAGTGGGGAAAGACAAAGATAAGGCATGCCCTGTCCGTCGGTTCTGAAAGTAGTCAAGGTATAAGACAATTTGAGCCTGAACTTGGAAAGGAAAGGAGATGTGGGAAGATCCATGCTTAGAATGTTTGCTGTGGAACATGGAATATGAAGGTCTCCCTAGGAATTGGGATGCTTTCTGGAACTTCTGAGGCTTCTGTTCAGACTTGAAGCAAAAACAGGTGTTCTATTAATGTCTTATTATTTGTGTCCCTCATAAGAGGCTGATAAAATGCTAATTATTGCAAATGCATTTCACACTGTTACCCTCATTATTCAGAGTTCAGTTTCCCAGCAGCTTAGCAAGGGATTTGACTCCTGTAGCAAGAATGTAGGGAAATTCAAGCTAATCTCTCTCACTGTTCATTTAGCTGTTGCATAAATGAAACCAAAAGGAGCAGAACAGACATGTCTTTAGGAAAATCTCTGCCAAGTGCTGATTTAGGTGAGAGATACCTACAGATAACTAAACACAACTTAACTTGGATGGACTTTATAGGCCTGGAAGGCTAGTAATTACGAAACAATTTCAGTTTCACACATGAAGTGTGCTGGGACACAAGTAGCTTTGTGACCCTCACATGATGATCTGAGTCACAGTTGGATTTCTAATTGGATTGTCTTCATAATCTCTTTATCTCCTATTACAAGATTCTTACAGTTGAGGGGAAAATCTAATTGCTCTGATTATGTGTATATTTAAACAGAAGAATAATAAGGGTCCCTGCCTTGTAGGATAGCTGGTGAATCAAGTGAAAGAATCCATATAAAGGGCTTTATTTATTTACTCATGAGAGACATACAGAGAGAGGCGGAGACACAGGCAGAGGGAGAAGCAGGCTCCCTGCAGGAAGCCCAACGTGGGAATCGATCCCGAGACTACAGGGTCATACCCTGGGCTGAAGGTAGGCACCAAACCTCTGAGCCACCCAGGGATCCCCTCTCTCTGTAACTGAGAGTAGTGATAAGTGTGCGCTCGTGTCTTTTTACTTTTTCCTCCTAGCTACTTGTCTTTTCACTGGGTTGGTTCCTTCCTTCCCTCCCTCCTTTCCTTTCTTTCTAAGATATTTATTTATTTATTTATTTATTTATTTATTTATTTATTTATTTATTTATTTTTTGAGAGATAGCACGAGTGGGGATGGTGGAGAGAGAAGCAGAATGCCTACTGAGGCAGGGAGCCTGATGCGGGGCTCAACCCCAGGACCCTGAGATCATGACCTGAGCTGAAGGCAGACACTTAACCAACTGAGCCACCCAGTGTCCCCATCACCCATTTTCTTTTTTTTTTTTTTATAAATTAATTTTTATTGGTGTTCAATTTACCAACATACAGAATAACGCCCAGTGCTCATCCCGTCGAGTGTCCCCCTCAGTGCCCGTCACCCATTCACCCCCACCCCCCGCCCTCCTCCCCTTCCACCACCCCTAGTTCGTTTCCCAGAGTTAGGAGTCTTTATGTTCTGTCTCCCTTTCTGATATTTCCCACACATTTCTTCTCCCTTCCCTTATATTCCCTTTCACTATTATTCATATTCCCCAAATGAATGAGAACATACACTGTCCTTCTCCGATTGACTTACTTCACTCAGCATAATACCCTCCAGTTCCATCCACGTTGAAGCAAATGGTGGGTATTTGTCGTTTCTAATGGCTGAGGAATATTCCATCGTATACATAAACCACATCTTCTTTATCCATTCATCTTCTAATGGGCACCGAGGCTCCTTCCACAGTTTGGCTATTGTGGACATGGCTGCTAGAAACATCGGGGTGCAGGTGTCCTGGCGTTTCATTGCATCTGAATCTTTGGGGTAAATCCCCAATAGTGCAATTGCTGGGTCGTAGGGCAGATCTATTTTTAACTCTTTGAGGAACCTCCACACAGTTTTCCAGAGTGGCTGCACCAGTTCACATTCCCACCAACAGTGTAAGAGGGTTCCCCTTTCTCCACATCCTCTCGAACATTTGTTGTTTCCTGCCTTGTTAATTTTCCCCATTCTCACTGGTGTGAGGTGGTATCTCATTGTGGTTTTGATTTGTATTTCCCTGATGGCAAGTGATGCAGAGCATTTTCTCATGTGCTTGTTGGCCATGTCTATGTCTTCCTCTGTGAGATTTCTGTTCATGTCCTTTGCCCATTTCATGATTGGATTGTTTGTTTCTTTGGTGTTGAGTTTAATAAGTTCTTTATAGATTTTGGAAACTAGCCCTTTATCTGATATGTTATTTGCAAATATCTTCTCCCATTCTGTAGGTTGTCTTTGAGTTTTGTTGACTGTATCCTTTGCTGTGCAAAAGCTTATCTTGATGAAGTCCCAATAGTTCATTTTTGCTTTTGTTTCTTTTGCTTTTGTGGATGTATCTTGCAAGAAGTTACTGTGGCCAAGTTCAAAAAGGGTGTTGCCTGTGTTCTCCTCTAGGATTTTGATGGAATCTTGTCTCACTTAGATCTTTCATCCATTTTGAGTTTATCTTTGTGTATGGTGCAAGAGAGTGGTCTAGTTTCATTCTTCTGCACGTGGATATCCAATTTTCCCAGCACCATTTATTGAAGAGACTGTCTTTCTTCCAGTGGATAGTCTTTCCTCCTTTATCGAATATTAGTTGACCATAAAGTTCAGGGTCCACTTCTGGGTTCTCTCTTCTGCTCCATTGATCTATGTGTCTGTTTTTGTGCCAGTACCACACTGTCTTGATGACCACAGCTTTGTAGTACAACCTGAAATCTGGCATTGTGATGCCCCCAGATACGGTTTTCTTTTTTAGAATTCCCCTGGCTATTCGGGGTCTTTTCTGATTCCACACAAATCTTAAAATAATTTGTTCTAAGTCTCTGAAGAAAGTCCGTGGTATTTTGATAGGGATTGCATTAAACGTGTAAATTGCCCTGGGTAACATTGACATTTTCACAGTATTAATTCTGCCAATTCATGAGCATGGAATATTTTTCCATCTCTTTGTGTCTTCCTCAATTTCTTTCAGAAGTGTTCTATAGTTTTGAGGGTATAGATCCTTTACCTCTTTGGTTAGGTTTATTCCTAGCTATCTTATGCTTTTGGGTGCAATTGTAAATGGGATTGACTCCTTAATTTCTCTTTCTTCAGTCTCATTGTTAGTGTATAGGAATGCCACTGATTTCTGGGCCTTGATTTTGTATCCTGCCACGCTACCAAATTGCTGTATGAGTTCTAGCAATCTTGGGGTGGAGGCTTTTGGGTTTTCTATGTAGAGTATCATGTCATCGGCAAAGAGGGAGAGTTTGACTTCTTCTTTGCCAATTTGAATGCCTTTAATGTCTTTTTGTTGTCTGATTGCTGAGGCTAGGACTTCCAATACTATGTTGAATAGCAGTGGTGAGAGTGGACATCCCTGTCTTGTTCCTGATCTTAGGGGAAAGGCTCCCAGTGCTTCCCCATTGAGAATGATATTTGCTGTGGGCTTTTCCTAGATGGCTTTTAAGATCATCACCCAGTTTCTTGATTCAAAGCCCAGGATGTCCTGGGTCAGGCAGGAAGACTAGAAATACTGACTTCTATCACCACAAGCAAAGGAATCCTCACTGTCTCTGGTCAGGTGTTAACCCTACAGAACAGAATGAGGGGTTGCCAGCTGTCTTCACACCAACCGAGGAGGAAGGGTACGCTGAGCCGTCACGCTCTGGAAAAGCAGAGCCTGTTATCTATTTCCAGTGAGTTCTACCCAGTTCTCCCCCTCCCCAACTTTAACATGGGCCTTACAGGTTCCTCAGGAGCTATATGTATGATCCATACCCCCAGATGGCTCCCTGGTTCCTTTCCGCAGCCCTCACCCAGATAGGGCCCTGAGCTGCTCACGCTACTCTGACCTTTCTACAGAAAATCTGGAAGTATCCCTGGTTTCTATTCTTTCTTTAAGCCAGTCTGTGGAGACTTAGTGGGTCATAAGATTCTTCTACCAGATTTTAAGGTTATCAGAAATATCATTGATTCATCTCCTTACTCTTGGTGCATTCCTTGCATAGAGTAGGAGCTCCATGTTTTTTGAGCAGATAGAGAAAGACTGCAAAAGTTATCATCACCAATGTGATACTAATCATAGCTGCTGGCAGATCCTGTGTAGGAATAGGCAAGACATGCCATCAAAAATCAGCTAACTGGAAGCAGGAACTTGGAGGGACCTCCAGGGAAGTTTGGTGAGTGAAAAGCAAATCCAGAAGATTGTGTACTGTATGATCCCATTCATATGGCATTCTTGAAATAACGCTGTTATAGAGGTGAAAAACAGGATAGTGGTTGTCAGGGATTCAAGTAGGGGGAGGGAAAGAAAGAGAGCCTATAAAAGGGTAGCATGGGGGCAGGGAGAGGCCTGTGGTGAGGGAGCAGATCTGTGTGGTGATTGTGGTGGTGGTGGCTACAGGTTGGATTTTAGCTCTCTTGGGAGTTTCCCAGGTGTAATCTAAAACCGGCCTTACGTAGGGCTGGGACAGACCAAAGAA